AATTAAGGCAAGTGAGTGGTGTAATATTCAGAGAAGTTTAAATTTACGAGAATAAAACTTGGATATTCTCTGAGATTAAAGTGGTACATTTATGTGAATAAAATGTCTTTTCAGTCATTAACAATACAAAAAAAGATTTTGTGCAGACATAAGAGGAGTGGTGGAGCTTTCAGACAGCAGATATGATGGACTGCAACATTAATTTATAAATGTCTGCAGTTCTTCCCCAATTATTTATGCTTTCTGTCTTTGAACTGATGAAAGTATCTCACAATACTGGTTGGTGAAAGTATCTTAGATGTGACGACTGTTATTAACATCTGCATACATCTGCTTTTACAGTACAGAGCTTTTAATTACTCAAACACATCAGAAAAATTGTGTTTTCCGAGTTTTCTTTCTCAGAAATTTTACTCCTGTCCTCTGGCTCCGTTTTTCTTCTTTAAACTTACAGTGGCCATAATACTCTGTTGTTGGAGGGATCTACAATCACATTAATCAGTTATTCAGATTCCCTCTGAAGTTCAGCCATTGTGAGACAACACAATTGTCCAATACCTGATCATACCTGCTGATTAGTCAACCCACACATGTGTTTTCACTTATCTTTCATTCCTGATGAAACCTCCTCAATATGGACAGCACACCTCTGACCCTCCCATTAGTTTGGTGTAACATTTTAGGGTGGGAATGATACATAATTAGAGTGCTTAATGTAGTTTAGTGACCCAACTTCAATGTGAGCAGAGGTCTGATCAGCTACAATATGTGAAAATGTCTGTGTAGGTGTGCAGGGTCTTTAAAAAACTATGTCACTTTCTCTTTTTGTTTAAGTAAATGAAACATAAAAAAACTGTCTCAAGCAGTGGACCCCTTTTCAAAGCAGACATTAAAAAGCCCAGGTGTAAACAATAAAATTACTATGATGGCTGAATTCCATTTAGCTGCTTCAGTTTCAGAGTCCTGGTCTTGTGCATGCTTGCTCACACTGTCAAAGAGTCATGGCTTACTGTGACACATGAATGGATCAGAGCCATTGTGCCCTGTGCTTTTGCTACCATGACAGGTGCTGTGAAAAAGTCCTTTGGCATTTAAAACTGCACACTTAAGCCTAACAAATAATGTTTGAAACATATTTTCTCACTGAAAATAACTGTCAGTGTACATTACACAAAGGAGAGAGTTTACAGACCAGCATGTCCTACTTTATTTATTGGGCTAGTTTTTCCCCAGTGCTAAATTGCCTTTGAATGTAACAGACCCATTTTCAGTTTGTTTGGCCTAATATTAAAAACAGTCTCACGACATGATTGGAACGGTTCAGTGAATATTCTCTTTGAATGGCCAGCCAGGGCTGTTGGCCTACATCTCCATTTAGGAATTCATTTATTAACACAATGTGCCCACTGTGTCGTGCAGCCTGCAATTCCCAACATGAAGACTGCCTGTCACATGTTCACCAAACTCTCTGCTCAGAGACTGCAGTCACTCTGCCCTTCTGTGGAGTATCACTGAGCTGCAGTCCTCCTGGCCGTTTGAGGAATCAGCCTCGGAGTGATGGTCCCAATGTGTTCCCTCTGTAGAGAAATAGACTGACTCATGAAGAAAGTGTGTTTGAGCGAGTCACCAAAAATAGCTGTATGAACTTTATTTCCATCAGATTATTTAAAATGAATCAGTGCAGGTGCTGTGAGGAACTGGAGTCAGCTACAGTTTATTCTTCTGTTGTGTTCCTGTCCTTTCCAGTCTCCCAAACCATTTCAAAACACCTTTCTGCTCTCACAAAATGATTACTAGTATAAGTATCATATTTAGAACGCAAGCACTGGCTTGGCTAGGCTTACTTATATCCAAACATTTTGAAATACTGAGTAACAACTGACAAGGTATTTTATTATGTACTGCATGGATCCTTCAAAGATACTAGGGGTGGGAATCACCAGAGGCCCCACGATACGATATTATCACGATATTTTTGATATTCACGATATTCGATTTTATTGCAATTTGAAATATATTGAGATATATTGCAATTTATTACATTTTTCCAACTATCAATTAGGTCCCTAAAGTCAAACTTTCTCTGTTTGTTCATATCACTTTTTCAGTCCTCTATAATGTCGTGTTAAGTTTTCTAGTGGACTAAAAAAGCAATAGATTTTATTATTCTAGTACCAAAAAGTTAAAACTCCCATCTGCAATTTATATAATAAAATATTGATACTTGGCATCCATGTAATTATTACAGTATTGCCATGGCAAATATCACGATACTATGCTGTATTGATTTTTTCCCCCACCCCTAAAAGATACCGTCATGAAACCCCCCCTCCCGCACACACACACACACACACACACACACATACACACACATACACATACACAGTTACTGTATGCCTAATCCATTTTAACTCTCTAGTAAATAACCTACAGTAAGCTACTATGTGAGAAGTTTTGGATCACTGATTGAGTAAGCAAATAAAGTCGCATGTTGCCTCTCTGTGTACTGTGTGTGTTATTTGTGTGTGTGTGTGTGTGTCAGCTTCTTTTAGAAAGAGGACACACAACAAATCCACTCAATCACCAACATTGACCTTTGTGACTAAATAGCTGTTTTTGAAGACGCTTTCTTTTTAATAATCCATTTCCCACAAAACTCTTATTTTTCCTCAACACATGCTGATAAAGGACTTATGGCTACACACCAATCCATTTTTAATGTTTGAATCCCTACATGGTAGTCCTGTTTGTGATGATGACATGGAGAGGACATGTCAGTTATCACCTGCAACTACACTGAATCTGTGGGAATCTTTTATTTCTTTTTTTTTTTAATGAACATTTAGTGAGTCTAGCTATAAACAAGCTTCAGGTTCACTTTACTTCATGACTATGGCAACACCAGGCTAATGTTTTCTAATGTAAGTTACTTTGGAATCTAGGTCAATTTAATTTGTGAGTCAACATGAAAGTGAGTCAAAGGCTTCTTTGAGAGCTTTTTTCTAAAAGAATTTATTCATTAAGAGATGCAGTCAGTCAAAAGATGATCTCAAAACAGTATAGTACCTTTTGTATAATTCCTTTTGACTTTGGTTAAGGATCATAGCTATTTAAATATTGTAGACAGCTACAAAGTTATTTTTTTAACATATCTGTAAAAAAGAATGAGATCAGATTGAGTCTAAACCAAACAATCAAACTGCTATAAAAATGGCTTTCAAGTGTGAAATTGGGACTTTTGCTGCATTTTTAGCATCCCATGATCATACCCCATGATGTCTACGTTCAATTAAAACTCCACCTTTACATTTATTCACACTTTTTATGCTTTTGAAAACATCCAGTTTCCAGTCACCAGGTCACCCAAAAAGGGGATGAGGACCTCTCACTGATCATTTCAAGGAAAGTCATTTAAATCTAAACAGATTAAACTGATCGATACCCTGGATGGTGAAAGCAGTTTTTTCTATTAAATCATAGGTTTAGCTTAATATTAATCACAGTTGTATTGTAAAATATATACTAAACGTCACACACAGAGAATGTAGTATTCAACCATGTGGTCAATCTAAATAATGATATAACCGTGGCAAAATGGTAGCCTGTGTCCTGCCTGGATTAAATTCAACTCCCTGCTATGTGCTACATACCAAGGAGGATTTGTCTGTGTTAAAAACGCCATTCCACTCCAAATGTCAGCTTTTAAGCATTTTCTTATTGAGTGAAAGGACATGGACAGATAGCTGCTTTTGTCTTTTTGTATATGTGTTTCTTCCCTTGCGCTTTGTCTCTTGTCTACATCTCAGATGCAACAACACGCTTTGCTCTCACCTCTGTGGCCTTGTCAGCCTGGTCTCTCATGCTGATAAAAGCCTGTAACTCTCTGTCCGATCCCCGCCTGATGGGAGACTCACAGGGCCTGTCCGTGTTAGCCCACGGACCCAAAGTGCTCCTCTGGCTCGGCTGGTTGTTTGCTGGGCTCCTTCTCGAACACTGAGGACCAAAGAGGCTTTCCACTTCTGTGTCACTGTCACTGGACTCACTGGATAACGGCTCTAGTTGTCTGGAAGCGGTGGTGGTGCGCATACTGGAGAGAAGGAGGAAGAATAAGAGAAAACAACAGATTTACATAGGATATTGTGATGTTAACTCTCACGAAGGAGCGTTAGATTAAAGGCAGAATTCTGGTAATCATGTCTGTCAGGTGTTTGTCTCACCGCAAAATAGCACTCTTCTCTTCCCTGTTGTGTTTCAGATAGTACCGACAGCAGCAGATGGTAAACTTGGCACCCATTGGCCTTTTCCAAAACTTCTCAACAAACAAAATCTATTCTCCCTGGTAAAATCCCAAAACAATCACACCTCTCTCCACAGGTTTCCTCCAGAATCCTCAAGGAAATATTTCCAAACTAAACTGTCCTCATTTGCAAACGGGGAAGACTAAATATCCAGGCAAAATCTTAACTACTTATGTCCATCCCCCTTTCCCTGTGCCTATCCTGGCCTGAATGAGAGCTGTCAATTACATTATCCACGTGACATGAGTCCAAAACAGGGGACAACAACAACATGCACACATACAGGACAGTTCAACCATGAATGGCACATTTATTCAGCACCTCCTGATGGTGCAGAATGCAGCGGGAGAGCCGTAGCTAAAGGCTGTCTACCCCTATCACTGCAAAACAGGCTCACTGCACAGCTAAATGTTGATGCTCCTATTTGCAGTGATATCTGCTGTAATATAATTTTAGTGACACTTCATAAATGTTAATACATAACTGATTCGACATTTCTCTCTCATAATCTGCTGCTATGCATTTACCTCTGTGTGGGACTGTAAAAATGGAAATGCTCTTTTGTCAACATGATGACATGATGATAAGAGTTCCAAGGTCACCTGGCCGGACAAATGTTCTGGAAGTGACTGACTGCAGTGTTAGTTACTGTAGTGCTGCAGGAGCAGGTACATCAGGGTGAAGAGCAGTTGCACCACTGAGTGAGGTGTCTAGCAGAAAGTAAAAGTCTAAGTGAGAACGAGCAAATGAAGAATAAGACACTTACATTTTGGATACTACGTTTGTTCCTGCTGATTTTAAGTAGCGTTTTAGAGACTTCTAACAGGTGAGTTGTACTGTGCCGCAGATCAACTTTTGTTGCAAATGCTTTTCTTTCTGAACTAATAGCATCCATAAATGTTGAATTGATGAGAATATATTTGTGTGCTCGCTGTATATTATAGCTGATATTGTCCTTTTCTTTGAAAGTGTTTCATACCCTCATGTCCATTGTTAATTCACTGTACTAAATGATGACACATGAAAAATTTTAATTAATTCTCTAATTATTTAATCCACAGTTTAGTGGAGGGTTTGGAATCAAGTCTGAGTTATGACTACACCAAATATCACCCCATGGATGAGGTAAGAGTCTATTTACAATACATCTTTCCAAGTTGGACTTTCTCTAGTTTTATTAGCAATGTTAATTAGAGATTGCACCAATAAAATTGGTGCTCTGTCCCCACTGTAGTTTCAGTAGGAAGACGTAAGTGGATTTTATCTTTTTATCAGTAGACAAAGCTATAAACTTTTAGTGAGAGCAGCACATATAGAAGGGTAAAGTGTTTCGAGACAACTTTACCAAGCGCTGGAGTACCAGACATTTATTTGTATATGTGTATTTTGTTTCACACCCCTTTTTTTCCACTTTCTGCCTTTCAATCTCATTAGATAACTGATGGACATTTGCTGAAGAAAACTATAGATACCATTACCAAAATAAATGATTGCACTGATTAAATTCTAATGCAGATATACAGGTGGATGGAAGATGTGGAGCGAGGGAACCCAGAGCTGGTCTCTTCTGCTGTCTATGGACACACTTTTGAAGGAAAAAATATCACACTGCTGAAGGTATTCAACACTCATAATCAATATGACATACAGTAGTGGACACCTGGACATTTATCACATAATGTAATTCTCCGTGGTGAACTGCACTGTCATTAATATTTATGCATATGGTAAGCCAAATGCTCCTAGACAAAGTGACTTGCTCGCTATTTATATTTATGATTGAGATAACGCAAGCCAATGACAAGCTATCCGGTAATTATAGTAGCTGACTGCAAATGCAAAATGTGCTATAGGTGTGTGTATAAATGTGTATTGAACCAAAAAGCTTCAACTAATTGTCTAACAAAATATTGCAAAAGATCCACTCATGCACACACAGCTCTGATGAAGTAGAATACTTTCCTTGCAATGAAAAATACAGGACAGAATGTAAGATGCAGTAGTTCTCCAAATCAGAGACCAAATTTACAACAACAAAAACACTACTGTCCAGCCCTGTGGCCCGTGAGATGGGAAACCAGTCTTGTATAATCTTGTTAAAATATTGCATATACCAAGATGGGTCATATTATGTGTCTCCAGTTGGGACTAGAAAACCCAGAGGGCAGAGAGAAGAAGGTGATATGGGTGGACTGTGGTATCCACGCTCGGGAGTGGATCGCTCCTGCCTTCTGCCAGTGGTTTGTCAAAGAGGTTTGTATACGCAATTTCTAGGATACGTGTATTCGCCCAAGCAAGAACACTCTGACATGTCAGCCTTTGTTCAGATTGTGATCTCCTATAAAACCAATAAGAAGCTGGAGCAGATGCTGCAGAACCTGTACATCTATGTTACTCCTGTGATCAATGTGGACGGATACACATTCACCTGGGGCAATGACAGTGTGAGTGCTTCTCAGCTTTTATTACTCTGAATCACATTTCACCTCTTTGGACTGATTCACTTTAAACGTTTGTTTAATTCAGCGAGCACATCTGTGAATGCATTCATGAGTGTCATGGCTCACTAACACACTGCCTGACCTCTGTGCCTGTGTGTGCGCGTGTTGTTTCCATGTAGACTCGTTTGTGGAGAAAGTCTCGTTCAATCCCTCCTCCAGGCAGTAGCTGTTACGGTGTTGACCTCAACAGAAATTTTAATGCCAACTGGGGAAGTGAGTTGTAAGCTTTCAAGAATCACCAAGTGACTAATTAGCCCTCATTTGCCTTAAGACTAGAATCAGACTGTAGACTAAACAAAACAAAAAGGGGATCAATATCAATGTGTTGTTGATTCCCGGTGTCATGTCTGACTGATTTATTGGTTTACTTTCTGGTTTGGAACAAAAACATGGCAACCAGTTAATGCTCCCAAAGCAAGTCGGTTCTGATGTGAAATGTTTCCTTTGCTGTGAAACTGGAAGGTCGTACAGTCAAAAACGTTGCAACACATTCTCACTCCCAACTCTTCAAATATGGATGCTTGGTCGGGACCCCATTGGCGTTGCTTTTTAACGTCCTGGGTACTTCTTTAGCATACTCCTTTAGCATAATTATTGCACGTCTAGTGCGCCGCGGTCAAGTTAGCAATAATAAATATGCAACATCCAGTTAGACTTTCTAAATAAAACTAGTAGGTAATGTTGTGAAACGTCACAATTAGATTAGGTTTAGGCACCAAAACTACTTGGTTAGGTTTAGGAAAAGATCATAGTTTGGGTTAAATAACTTCTACTTGTGTAACATAACTAAATCAATGCTGATTTTTTGTTTCACAAGGAAACAAAAACAATCCATGTATGGTTCATTCTTTTATTATTCTGGTTCAAAACCAAATCGGGAAAAAAAAAATTCTATTTTAAAACCAAAATGGAAAAGCAGATAAACAGAAAACAAAAACACAAAACGGAAAAATATTGATTTTGATATTTAATGTGCCCTTTTTATTTAGCTTTGTGTGTGTTGCTTTATTAACCTGCAGCAGAGACACTGATTAAATGTAGTTAAGATGAGCTTGAACATAAACATAAGTGTGTTTTTAGTTAGAAAAACAGGAGCCTAAACGTTCAGTTTGTAACTCACTAGCAACTGGGACAGGCACAGGAACACCTCAGAAGTTGTCTAAGAATCTTAAGAGTTTTTAAGATTTCTTCAGTATCAAATAAATTCACTGATAGTTGTCAGTACATCCAATGGTACACAGCAAACATGAACTGTTATTAGTTAAATCAGCGAGCTGTATACTAACAAATCATGCACAGATTAAAAGGTTCAGGTAATTTTAATTCAGTATCTCTACACTGTTTCGACCTGACCTTTATTTTCTTCGTGAGAAGAAACTATGACAGCGGGAGCGGGGTGCTGGATTTGATTTTAAAACAACGATCTGATTTGGTTTTTGAAACGAAATAATGAAAGAACAAACCATACACGGATTAAAAACCTCCTTACTCTGACATTTTTGTCATTTATATACTGCTTCTACTTTTACCATTCAAAAATGTCACTAAGGGGCTTCCCCCAATGGGCTGAACTATGATGCTAAAAGGATTCCCAGTGTGTTAAAAACTGACACCAAGGGGTCTTGACCATGCATCCATGTGTGACGACTTGGGAGTGAAAACAAGTTGGTACAGCAGACCTAGATATCATAGTGTTATCATAGTGATACCATAGCGTCAGAGCTCAAGCCCTCAGCAAGTGTTGGTTGTCACAAGCCTTTTATTATAAATTCACATTTTATAATTGTTTTTGACATAAGAAAGCATACATATTTTAAACATAAAACTGATGTATTATCATTGAACTGCACGTTTTGTGTTTCTGTCCTCAGTGGTCGGTGTGTCTTTTGACAGTTGTGAAAACACATACTGTGGGAAATCACCAGGGTCAGAGCCAGAGGCTAAAGCTGTGATGGAGTTTGTCGGTAACTACCTATCAATCTATGAAATGACATTGAAAACCATACATTACAACAAAAAAATGTTAGGTTTTTAATGCATCATAAATTACATGTGGACATATGGTCTCTGAGCTGAGCATAAAATGTCCGATCATGAAATATAAAGGCTCGTTTAAGTGTATTATTTATGTGTAACCAACACCATTTCTACACATTTGTTTATATTTACTCTGTTGTAGCTTTAAGAAGTCAATGTTCGTTATCTCCTCTTCACTTGCTCATTCTGTCTGTATCTAGGTAGGATGGTTAACCAGACTCTGTGTTTCCTCACCATCCACTCTGCTGGTCAACTTATACTGTTGCCATATGGCCACCCTCAGATCTCTGCACCCAACTACAATGAACTGGTGAGTGTGTCTATGAATTAGTATCACAGTAGACCTTTAGATAAAAGATGCATAGCTTTTAAGAACAGAGGTCGAAAGCTCAGTGTTTTAACATATAGTAAGAGACGACTGATGGATGTCATTATCAGGGAGATCGCTGTAGTCCAAGCTAAGGTACTGTCTGTTATGAAAGTAAAGTGAGCCGGGTGTCAGGTGTGTTGAAGATGTTTATGAGACGGCATTGTTTAATGAGACTTGGCGAAGAGATACAGTGCCAGCATACATGTCTTTCCCCTTAGTGCCTATAGGCTTTCCCTGCAAGGTCATCTTCAACTGGCCTCAACCAGAACAGCTATTCTGTCCGATTCTTAGACTCATCACATTGAAATCTAATTAGTAGTGTTAGTATTGAAGATTTGCACTCTAGTCTGTGGTAAGTTCTTCTAAGCACATATGTTTCCCAGAGATACTGATACACTGCTGATATTTGATAGGCTGATGCCTGAACTACAGTCTCTTCCTTATCAGTCCAGCTGTTGTCACACTGACAAAGAGAAACAGAGGCAAAGAACTAGAGCTAGAAGGTCAGTTATATACACTTGAACCCAATCGTGACTTGCCTTACCATTCCTATTACCTGAATTAAGCCCACTAAAAAATTCCCTCACATTGTCCTAATTCAGACTTGGGTCCATGACCTGCCTGGCCAACTAGCCAATTAACAATATAATTCATTGTTGAGGGAAACTGAGAGAAATGTACTAACCATCTTTCTTTTTTTCTTAACAGTATGACTCTCATGCACATACTGCACTGCTAAAACATTTCAGTATACATTGTTAGCATAGCATCATGACTTTTTACCTACTATAGAGAGTAAGGGCATTTGGTTTACCAAACACCTGTTGTGTTTTTGTGAATTGTGCAGGTTTCAGTCGGTGAGGCAGCAGCAGCAGAAATGAAGAAGATACATGGAATGGACTACACTGTAGGAACATCTCCACAAGTCCTCTGTAAGACCCATGCTCACATACACACTAACAGCGGTTCTTTCCAGTCCTTGTCTGTCCTCAGTAGCTGTGATCTGCACTCATTGTAACAAGCTCTGACGTTCTTTTCCTTAGTAGCCTAAATAAAATCAAAATACAGGAAGGAAAATTAGGCACAAGTTGAAATTCACATTGATTGTCATTGATGACTTGCATGGGAAACAATGCATTCTCTGCATTATTATTGTCTGTCTCTGCAAACACCATGCAGACCAACCCACAATCAGCAAGGTCATTGTCCCTGCCTACATCCACTGTCTTCTGCGAATTCAGCCTTCAAACTGAAAATCACATTTCTGAAATTATTACCAAGTCCAATGACTTCACATGTCATCTGGATCCAATTCCCACACCCCTAGTAAAAGCATGCTTGCCTTCTATAATTTCCCGAGTAACATCCATCATCAACTCTTCACTGTCCACTGGTATTGTTCCACCCTCTCTGAAAGTTGCCATAATCAGACCAACACTGGAAAAAACTGGTTTAGACTGCAATAATCACAACAACTACAAGCCAATTTCCAACTTACCATTCCTATCGAAACTTCTGGAGACGGTTGTTGCATCTCAACTACAGATCTACCTCAATAAAAACCTGGCTTCAGACCCATTCTCATCCTCCTGGATTTCACAGCAGCTTTTGACACTGTAGCACATCCCCTCCTCATGGACCATCTGGCAAATATTGGAATTGGGGACACTGTTTATCAATGGTTTGCCTCCTACATCTCAGAAAGGTCACAATATGTAAAAATCCAAAGCTACAGGTCAGAAACCTCCATTACAGAGTACCGCAGGGTTAAGTGCTAGGACCACTATTATTTATCATCTACCTCCTCCCTCTTGGCAACATCTTCTGGCACTACAATATCCATTTTCACTGTTATGCTGACGATACACAGCTTTATCTGTCAACAAACCCCAGCTCCACACTCCCCTCCAGTAACTCGCTCCCTGTCTACATTATATACAGACATGAATGACAACTAATTACTTACAACTCAACAAAAGTAAGAACCAACATTAGCTCACTCCCCTTAAATGGAACCGCCATTCCTTTCTCTATGCAGGTTAAGAGCCTCGGTGTAATATGGGACAATACCCTCTCTTTTTCCACTTACAAAACATCTTCAGACTACGCCCTGCTCTAACTCAACACTCAACGGAAGTCCTAGGAAATGCCTCGGTCACTTCATCAGTCCACAGAACATATCACTCCTCTGCTGATTCAACTACACTGGCTCCCTGTATCACAAGGGATTGACTTTAAAATACTACTATTAACATTCAAAGCCCTCCACAATCTGTCACCTACTTATCTCACTGACCTCATTCAGACCTACACTCCATCTCGTTCCCTGCGGTCTTCCGCAACAAGTCTTTTAGCACTACCAGCCATCAACCTCAGTGTCATGAAATGCCCCCTCAAATAAAATGCATTATTATTATTATTATTATTATCATCATCATTATTATTATTATTATGATTATTAGATGTTGTGGATTTGTGTCATGTGCTTTTTTTTCTTCAGATCCAAACTCAGGCTCAAGCCGGGACTGGGCTCGTCTCATTGGCATCCCATTCTCTTACACCTTTGAGCTGAGAGACAAAGGTCAGTTCAGCGACATGTACTCTACAGCCAAACATAATGTGCTGATTTTCAGTTGGTAATGTTTTTTGTATCAATGATCCTCCAGGTGAGTTCAGCCACTTGCTACCAGAGGAGCAGATCCAGCCAGCCTGTGAGGAGGCCTACGCAGGAGCTCTCTCCATCATCACATATGTACACGACAAGGCCTTCAACACCCTCCCTAACGCTGCTGTCACCGCAGTGCCTGACTTCACCATGGTTTCTGGGCTTGCTATATGGAGCACTGTCATGGCTGTGTCTCTTACCACAGGGGTCTTGATGTAAGACCTGAGATACTGTGCATCATGGTGTTGGTAAACCTCTCCCAGAGCGGCCAAAAGAAATGATATCATCATTAGTGTTCATAATGAAATATACAGCTAATAAGCTTAATTATTACAGCCTGTGGTCCTATGTTATGATAAAACAGCTACATTATTATGCTATTCATGAATCATTTTTATTGTGACAAGAGGGGACAGACAAGAAAACATTAGTTGTATTCAGAGTTACATGACGGTTATGTTGTTTCTGATTTCCACAGCAGGGGGCTGTATCGCCCCATTCTATACACCATACCCAGACACATTTTATAACTACATTCTTTCTTTAGCTGTGTCCCTTGGCTGGATGACTTTTCATACAGCATAGTTACCCCCTCATCTATGAGCATCTTCTTGTTTTATCATCACATCAATTTCAACAACAGGTTAGATCAGCCACCACAAAGACAAAAAAAATATTTAGTCAGTACAAATTTAGCTTGATTGTTTTTGCCTTTATGCATGGCTCCTATTTATACACAGATCCAAAATAACTGTCAACAAACACATAGCATGCTTCATTCATCCCCTCAGTTCAATTTACTAAAATTCCTATCTCTCTCTTGGTCAGTGCAGAGTTTACTGTAAATGCTACACAAAAGCAAAAAAAGCCCAGGTGGAAAACCACTGAGATGAAACACATCTGTATCAGCCGAAGACCATGAAAATGTGTGTTATTAAAGCGGGAAAAAATTCAATATCATACAGTTGCACCAGCAATATGTTTCTTTGCGCTGCATTGACTTGCAGATAGTACTACTCTTGTACTCAAAACAGTAATCACCCAGCTTTTCTAAAAATAATAAAAAAGACTGAGTTTTGAAGGCAGTGTCTTTATTTGTTTTGTCTGAAATTAAGTTTCAGGTGGCATTAGAAGATGTAACAGATATATCTGAGAAGGAATTTGTCTTTTTAGTGTCTTCTAGTGTTTTTTCACTTTCGCTTTTATCATTAGAGTTTGAATGTTTAAGGTTCATTTTGATTAGGTTGGAAGAATCCTTTCTTCCTGGCTAATTTTGCTCTATAGCATGTTTCTTTGTGAGAAAGAGTAGATTTCTGTTGTGAACTCTTCTCTCTCCCTCTTTCCTTCTCTCTGAGATTTATTTCCAGAGTGAATCTTCCCCTGCTACTTCAATGACTGGTAGACCAGCAGTTATTCACACACACACACACACACACACACACACACTTAGCCATTGACAATGTGACATTGACATAGTGCAGTTGAATACCTTATGTGAGGGTGAGTGATGGCCACTCACCCTGATGGCTGTTCCCTAAAGGTGTGTGTGTGTGTGTGTGTGTGTGTGTGTGTGTGTGTGTGTGTGTGTGTGTGTGTTTTGAGCAGCAGTGGAAATAAAATTATAATCCAGCTCACATGAAACCTCAACAGAATAGAAAGACGGGTCAAACACCAGGGGACCGTGAGAATAATAAGTAGGAATGAGGACACACACACACACATATATACAGCCCTTCAGGGAACAAACTATTCACTCATGAAAGATACTCACACATGACTTGGTGAGGCAGAGCAGACGTCACACACACACACACACGCACGAATATAAGAGCTGGGCAGGGATTCAGAGACACAGATTGAAGGTGATTATAATTCACAGTGAAGTCTGGCTGGTTTAGTTATCACCAGCTCATCCATCTATTTGTGTGTGTGTGTGTGTGTGTGTGTGTGTGTGTGTGTGTGTGTGTGTGTGTGTGCGTGTGCATGTGTGGTTAAATGCTCATCAAGGTAGCAGGGGAAAACCGCACCATGGACATATACATCACAAAGATGGGGAAAGAGAGGAAGAAGAAATCAAGCCCACCTATCAAGGGAGAGGTGAATGAAGAATGGATTGAAGGAACAAAGAGATGGGTGCTGAAAGACAATACAAAGTGGAGGGAAAAATAATGCTGATAACACGTACAGGATAGCACAGTTTGTGATTCAAAAAACAAAATGAAATTCCATAATAAAACAATGTGAACATAACTGTAAGTACCTGATTTTATTTCTGAAATAAATAAATAATTGTCTTTGCATCACCCAGAGCCCCATCAATTAAGTCACTTGGCAAATTTGTATTTCTGGTAAATAAACTGTTTTATCATTATACAAAGGCCACGGAATTTCTTTATTTATTGATGGCTAAATGTTAAACCACTGTTCTGTATCATAGCAAGGCTATGTAACTTTGGTAAAACACAATCTTACAAATGAAAAGCTCTGTTCATAAGCAACAAGACGCACTCTTGCTCAAGTTCATAAATGCAAATGGGATTTTCGCAGCTACAGCTTTACTTGGTCTGGTATGGCCAGTAGCTTGTATAGCCAACTCTTTCCAGTATTTCTGAAAAAAAAAGAAAGGTTAGAGACTGGTCAATAATTAGAGATCCTGGATCAGTGCCAGTCATAAGTGACAAATTAACAATATTCAGGTAATTGGTTTAGACGCCAACACCAGCTTAGACAACTTTTGAAGAGAGATAGTTTGAGAATTTGTGAGAACAGGGGACAATCTGGGATTCAACATATGAATATGGCACTATAGATTCTGCAGGAGTAGATGGAGTTGAGGAACTAATTGTCAATCTAATAAATAAAAATCAAAAAAATGAGCCGTAAAAGATAAGCAGCTAACAGACGGCTAATTTTGGGCAAGTTTGGCTACAGTCCCAAAAAGAAATTTAGTGAGCATGGTATGCTCACTTGGTGGAGTGCCTGCCCCATGTACAAGGAGTCCTTACTGCAGCGGCCCGGGTTCGTGTCCAGCTTGAGGACAGCACCCTGTCTCTCTACCTGTTTCCTACTGCTATCCACTGCCCTGTCTCTCAAAATTAAGGCAAAAAGCGTTTTTTTCATGCAGTTTACGCTTCATCTCCCGCAGACCTGCTTAATACCACGTCTCTTCAGTAAACCAGGGTGTACACCTCGTTGACCACCTAGTTTTGGTAGAAATATTTGCAGCTGAATCCAGGAAACTAGGAAGGTCTGTGTTTAAGTCAGCGGTACAATTTTCCACAGGGCTTGTCAATCACCAAGTGCATTTAAAGTTGACAAACCAACGTGGAGCGTTAATTCAGCCAAACCAAGATGATTCAATAGAGCATGGAGCTGAGATTTTTCTTTAACCTATTTTTATTTCTATTACGGCTACGGCAAAATCTCATTAAATGGTATTGCTTCAGTGAAATTGCTGAGCCCCTCAAGCAATAGTTCCACATACTATTTTAGTCTCTGATCAATATGGAACCAGTCGCAAAAGGACACATGTGACAGTGACCGTTCTGCCTCTGTCAGAGAGTAATTTCTGTGGAAAAGTTATGTACGTACGTACAGTACAATGGATAGTTTCACAGAATCCGAGGTGCTTTGTGCTGATGATATATTTCCTGTAATGTTTCAACAAGGGAAACCGTGTTGAAATGTTAATTACAGCCAGTTAAAGGAAATGATAGTAATATGTTTATTCAGGCTTAATTATGTATTTTTAGGCTGAGATAATACATCTATACCCTCACAAACTCTCCATGAATCCCCCAGGTGGCAGCCAGGGTTCAATTTCCAGACGTTTTGAGGTTGAGAGATTAGAACTTGTGTTTTTGCTTCTCCAAGAGGCTGGTGTGAGAACTTGCCCAGATTTAGCTCTCATTTTACTTACTACTACTCACTAAGGGGAAAACCCCTATTGAGCCTCTCTTTTCAACACTGTTTTCAAGTTGATTTCCACAGTACAATGTTTCATGACTGAGACTCGTAGGTTTCATGGGGCTCTTCACCTCCTTTCAGACATGTGCGTTTGCATGTGTAACACACACATTCAAGTGATGAATAGAAGTGTGTGTTAGAGGGCTCCTCTTCTGTGGGCCGATGACACGTCTTTGCCACATACTTTTATTGCTAATCAATGTAGATGACACCATTTTTTACACACTGTCACTGACAATCAATGGGAATTATGCCATGCTTTTTAACTGTCTCTGGTAATCAATGAGGGCGGCGCCATCATCTGCATCTTCTGATCATTACATCTGGTGATCAATAACAAAACTGTCTCAGGGATGACACAGGATCATCATACTAGCACTCCATGATGATAGGTAGATATGTGTGTGTGTGATGGGAGAGAACGGAAATGTGTGAAGCCAAATGTCAGACAGACAGAGGGAGGGAACTGACAAAAGACAAAGGTGGCAGGAAAGAATTTGACATAGAGCTCAGGAAATGGCCACATTTCAAACCATCACTCTGCCATGGTTATCACAGACAGTAAAGAAGACAACACAGCCTCCCTCCCATCCTTCCTTCCTTCCTTTCTTACTGTCTAGTTGCTCACAGTGGTTTATGATGTGTGTATAAAAAGCACTGTAAACATTTCCCAATCCCAAATTTTGCTATGAACCATGATGTCCATCATGATTGCACTATTTCTGCTAAGTTTCAAACAGTTTTGGTTATTTTGCATGAGAGATTTCATTACTTGTTTTTGATTTGTTCTCATAGCCTGGTATTACCAAATGAATGAATAAAATGCAAGATTTAACTTATGTCATGTAGGCTTACATAACTTAACTTACGTACATATCTTAACATATTTATTTTAACTCAAATCACAACCAAATGTCTGGAGTGCTATATGCAGTTCCATGAGATCACAACCATGCTCTTTTCACTGGTTGGAAGAGAGCATTTCTGTGCCAACAATAAATCACCCATTATCAATAAAAATAAAATAATAAAACAAGTTATAAACACAACATATTATCACCTTACAGAGTTGATATAGTGAACGTGTTCTGTTGTGGTCTCCACCAACTCCTTAGAGAAATCCGTCTCTTTAGCTGTAATGCACCACTTTGTTCACCAGCTAGTAGCTACACTTGTCTGCCCGCCATTTGGTGCTGGGCAGGGAGCGTAAGACTGCTGACTCTGGAAATGACACTGTTGACAGCAGTGAGAGGGATTCAAAACAGTAAAGTTCTGTGCTGTAAAAACCAAAACAATGAGCTGAAAGTGACTGATATGCTCCACAGAGTTGAAGGGAACTGCACTCAGGTGGTAAATATCTGTGTGTTTATCACTACGAGCAACCCCTTTCACATTAAACATAGTTATTTCATTAGTTTATATATAAAAAATATTGAACAGAGCAGTTTTAATAAAAAACGTGGTAATAAAAAAGTGGTAATTAAAGGTCTATTTAATACCTTTATAAAACTTTCAGCCACAGCTGTTTTCAGCACGTCCTCATACCTAAACAAAATAGGGTGATCACAGGGTGGTCAATTGTCCCAAAACAACATACACAACCGTTCTCCAAAACAATATGTCCAGCGACAGGCATACTGGATTAAGTACGTTAAAGTCATGTGACCTAAGTCACACTTAAACTTAATTCCTTTAAATAAGTCAAATTTGATTTTCTTTCACACGGTACTCAGACCTCAGTCTCCTGAGTGTAATTATAGTAGCATGAAGTCGTGTGTTTACTTGACACATCCACCCCACCACCTCCTCACACAGTGCCTTGTCGCTCTTTATACTACATCACCTGATTTCTTCCACCACTAGAGGTCACGGCCTAATAAAAAACATAAAAATGAGTCGTAACAAGCTGCTGAATAATCTAACTAATGCGTCTGTTTTTTACTGGTGAGGACAGGATGGCTGTTTTCTTATGTTTCCAGGAAGATGACAATGTCAGTAAAATCTGCTCCAACCACACAGATAAACTGAGCTTTTAAGTGTTCAGCTATCACTAACCAATTATTGTGGTGTTTCTTTTCAAAACTTGAATTCTATTGCTTATTTATTA